TCCTCTGCCTCACTGATGTCTGACTCTGAAGGCAGCTGATAACTGGCATATGGCCCTGGCCCCCTCTCTGCCTCCGACACAGAGCCCTCATCAGAACCTTCCCCAGACTCCAAGACTGACCCATGTTCCTCCCCAACCTCCTCACTGTCCAAATCTGCTGCCAGCTCTACTGGCCGCTAGTGAACCACAACACAAAGCTTTTTCAACGTCCTTTGTAATTGAAAAGGAAATTAGAATCTTGTTGATGGATTGTTCAAAAAGAAACAATTCTTTTCAAACTCACTTTTGTTTCCTCAAAATGGGTCAACAGGTTTTGAGTGCCTACCTTAAATTGGATTTAATTAGATCCACGATGTGTTTCTTTTTATTACCTGACTTGTTTGGCTTTAAAAGAAAGTCTGTATAACAACCAGGCTGTTAATTGTTCAGACAGCAGAGTTTCAGAAGTTATGATGATGATTCGTCGCTCAGCCAGCCAGATGTTTAGACAGGATTTGGCATTTTGATCCACCTATTAAGTCCTCTCCAAGGACCCAAGATAGGCAGATGGTGTTAGTCTGATGGGTTAAAAGTCTCATCACAGGATGTAAGCTGTTCCAGGGTAATTGACTTTTTGTAATTGACCAATGGTGATTTTGTCAATGCTGATAATGTTCAACAGGTGCTCCAGATGTTTTGGGAATGCACCGAGGCTTACTACTCTCAGTACAATTATTACTATGGTTAATTGTGCAGTCAGACAGATGTTTAGACTGGAACCGGCATTTTCATCAACCCATCGAGTCCTTCCCAAGGCAGATGCTGTTGTTCCAAACGGCATTATTGTTGTTTGTTGGCACATCGAGCCAGATGTTCAGAGTGGATTTGGCATTTTTATCGTTCCTTCCTTCCCAGGAATCTGGGAGAGGCAGATGTTGTCGTTGCATGGCATTAAAGGTATCGTCACAGGATGCAAGCCGTTACTAAGCTGCCTTTTGCAATTGACCAATTGGGAATTTAGTCAATGCCAAGAGCGTTCAAGGGATGTTCCAGGTGTTTGGGGATCATTGCAGCCAAGGTGCCTATTCCAATAGGTACTATCTTTGCTTTCTTTTGCCACAGTGGTTCTCTTTCTTAAAGCTTTTAAGAATTGAGAGCATTAGGTGAATCTGTAGCCCTTTCTTTTTAAAGTTGTTTATGAAACTTATATCCCTCCCATCTCACTGCTGATCAAAGTTCTTTCTTCTCTCCATCTGTTTCTTAGCCCAGCCATTCCTATTCACTCATGCTCTTCTTTTTTGTTGCTGTTAAGCCATCTTTCTTAGCTTATATCCTCTCGTTTTTTGGTCCACTTTTTAAAAATATGGTGCAGGTTGGAAGAATTTCCGCTAGTTGAATTTTTCAATTCATGTCTTTCAATTTATTTTTGTTTAAACCATTTACATAACCACCTACCTCACAAAGGTGAGTCTGGGCGATGCACGCACATTAAAACAAACACAACAGCTGCCTTCAGAGTCAGACATCAGTGAGGCAGAGGAACAGCTGGAGCCTGTTCCCAGTGTGCGCATGCGCAGAGTTGCCAGATGAAGGGAACAGGGGTCTACTTGGGAGTAAGGCCACAGGTGGACGATGAATGCCCCCCCCAGGAAATAAAATAAAAGAGGAGCGAAAGGGGAGTGGAGTTTGCAGGAGAGAATTAGTTCGCTTAATTGGTTCGTGACTCTCCGAGATTCCTTGCCACGTTTTGCAGATATCGGCCTGGCAGCTCTCCAAGCCAGATGAGGCCTGTGACTATAAATCCTCTCTTGAAAGACTTTGCTGGATGTGAATGAGCAGAATTCACAGGAAATTAATAAAAGGAGTTTTTGTCGGGACAAGGAGTTTGCTTAAGGCTCTTGGGAAGCCTCGGTCAGAACAGATGAATGTGTAGTTTGCTGTTGGATGAGAGAGATGTTGGGCCTTCTAACCAATTCCCACATGCTTCTCTGTCAGGACATACCAGTGG